GAGAATTGTAGATATGGCATATGGTCATCATCCTAAAATGACCCAATTACCTTCAGAGTATGCTAACAAATATACCTTATACTCAGTACTCACTGGTAGTGAACTAGATAATTTCTAATTAATAAAAAAAAGCTTATGTCCTACTGGGGATAATAATAGGTACACATCTACAGAAAGACCACTCAAATCATCTACTCAATTAGATCAATTAGCATCAATAGCACTTAGCAAGATGGTATTGTGGGAAAGGCTTTGACCTTGGAACCAAAAGTATTGGGTTTGATGCATCTTAGCTGTGTGACCCTGGGAAAGTTTTTTTTAGCCTCTCTGACCCTTAATTCTCTCATCTGAAAAATGGGGACAACCATTTCTTTCCATTTCAATCCACAAGGCTGTGTGTGTGGGGAAGAGCACTTTGTATACTTTAAAGTATGAAATAAATGTCAAATATTAGCCTCATAAAGGAAGGATAGCAAATCAGTGAAGAGTTACATGGAACCAAAAGTCCTGGTTCTAGAATTCTTCCCTCAGACCAATCTATAGCTCAGTGAAAATACTATGTGTTACTCTCACTTAAGTCAGGAGCTTTTCTCAGCTTTTCCCTGCCACTAGCAGGAATGGAAATCTGAGCAGAGAATAGAGTGCATTACATCAAAACCTCAATGTCCCAAATTCTGTTATATCATTCCCATATTGGATACTTAGTAAACCTAAACAATTCATTTCTCTTCCCCAGCCTTTCCAGTTCTACAACTGAAAAATTCAGGTAATTCCTGTTAGTATGCACCTCATAGGGTTATTGTGAGGATTAGAGTAAAGCATCCTCTCACCCTTAAACAAATTTGTAATTTCTAGCTTTTATTATCTTCATTATTTTTCAGACAACAGTCAGAGGTAACAAAAGAGACAGTGGATTCAGATGTGAGCACAGCTGGTCCAGCCTGAGAGAACCAATCAGGCCAAGAAGTCAGAAAAAACATTCCCTGGTTTTGAAGTTAAATCTAGTTACTGATTCCTTGTTCCTGAAATATATCTAGTACTACATTTGGCAGGTACTCCATAAATACTAGTGAATGAATCCTGTTAAACTGAGAAAATGAGCTAGAAAAGGAAAATTCATCATCCTCATGTTTCAAGTTCTCCTAGTCTTAGTAAAATCAGAGATCTTAAATTATAAGCTGGAATCTAATCCAATTTTACAGATGAAGAAACCGAGGCCCAAAGAGGTTAAGTGATGTGTCCAAGGTCACACAGGGGCAAGATTTGAACTCAGGTACTCTGACTCCAAAGCCAGAACTATTTCCACTGTACCACTCTGACTCAGACATGTTACGATGGTTCTCCTAAACAATTGTCTCCTCACTTTGAGATTCAACTTCATTTTAAAATAAAATGATTATCATATGCTTGAGTATTGAGTGGCCGTAAAACCTCTCTGAGATTTATGTGATATCTAGGACTATCTGAATGCCAACAGGAAGTCACATTGGGTAAGAATGAATGAACTTGATCCTTGTAACAAGTTGTGGGTGTGTAAGAATAAACCTAGGCAGGTAGTAACAGAGATGCCCTCAGAAAGAAGAGGCATTTCAGGGTTTAGAGAAGACAAAGAAGGGTGGATACATAAGGGACAAAGCCAGGAAAAAGACAAGTCAGCAAAGATCTTCTTATGTTCCTGATACTCCAAGCTCTAGAATTCTAAACTTCCCCAAGCCCCCAGTGCCAAGACTGTGGATTTTTAATATTTTGTCATAATAACAGTAAAGATGTTAATAATAACAGTTGTCATGTATAATAGCACATTGTTTTGTATATCACATGTAAACACATAAACACATTTGATCTACATAGCAGCCAATAAAGTTCATGCTTTTAGGGGATTTGGAGTCAGGAAGTCCTGGGTTCAAATTCCCAAGTAAATCATCTGTTTTATCCATTAGGACAGTAAGGCTCAGAGAGGTTAAGCTGCCTATGGTAACACAGTAGATAAGTATCTTGTCTGAGGGATTCCAATCCAGAGCTTGCCGACTCCACATTCAGCACTCTATCCGCTATGCTATATTGATTTTCACTGTCCTATCATTTCATTTTTAAAGGAAATAGGATCTGACAGAAAAAGTCCTATGGAAAAACCCCAAAATTTGGTCATTTGGTTTTTTCCCCATACGACTTTTCCAATGCCACCATCACTAGCAGTTTGAATCAGATTTACTACCATCCGCAAAAAAATTGTTAACATCCATCAAGCATTATGGAGCTATCTTCACGGAAAGGAGTTCTAGTCAGTAAAAACCACGAGCTTTGCAAGGTTTTGTCAATCTCCAGAAGACATAACCAGTTGGCTGATGAGGAAAACAGGAAACACCTTGGTACAACAGAAAGGGGGAAAAATTTTGGAGTCAGAGAACTTTAGTTCAAATTCTACCCCTGCCACTCACTTGCATAGCCTTAAACAAGTCACCTGCTCTTTCTGGATCTCAGTTTCCTCATCTATAAAATGAGGTGGTTGAACTAGCTGACCTGAAATGTCAGCTCCAGCTCCAAGTCGATAAGCCTCTTCCTTAACAGTGTCTGGTAGCTATACCCAGGGAAGTCTTCCTCTAATTTGTTCCTCTAAAAGACTTCCTGAAAGTCTTTTCTCTAATTTATGGGTCACTGACTCTGCCATTAATAACACCGGCGCTACATAAGTGATAACACATACCTTGATGCTTCCTGAAGGCCTTACAGAGTCTGTCTTTGGAAAATACCTCCTGAGGTGGGAGCTGTCTTAACGATCACATTTGAGGGAAGGGAAGTGTGATTCATTCTACTGCTGAGCCCTGAATCAGGTGCCTGAGAAAACCGACAGTTCTGAAGCCTCAGGCTGGGATGAGAACTGGTTTCCATGAAGCTTAGCAGATTCCTTCCCAAGGTTTCTTTGGAGGAAGCTGATACCAAGCCAGCAAAGGCATTTAGAGGGAAGGAAAACCTAAATAAATAATGGGGAACACTTTCCAATAACACTGGAAGAAACAATTAGCAAAACAAAAACTCAGTTATCCGCTTTGTTTAGGTCCCAGTGGGTTGTAGCTAGACCTAAAGTCTACCTGACATAACAGCATCTAATCAATCAACAAGCATTTATTAAGCTCTTACTATGTGCTAGACACTGGGCTAAGAGCTGGGCATACAAAGAAAGGCAAAAAGAGTCCCTGTGCCCAAGAATCTTTCATTCCCATGGGAAAAATAACATGTCATTTATTAGGCACATAACATGAGATGGATGAGTAGAGAGTAGGTACAAAGAACCTCAGACAGGAAGCAGGAGAGAAATTACATTTTTTGAAAAAGTATGGCAGAATTTAAATCATTGTCTAATTGACCTGCTACTTCTTTGTAATGCCTGTCAAATCTTTTTTAAACAACAAAAAAACTCTCCAATTTGACAGACGAGGAAAAGTGACATGCCCAAGATCACACCGACATGAAGCATGGGGGAAGGGGTGGGTGTGGAGTTTGAACCCAGGTCTGTTGAATCTCTTAGTGCGGTGCATTGTACTAGACTGGCCCATCTAAGATTAGTTTACAAAGAAAATATTTAGGGGCAGTGAGGTGGTACAATGGATAGAGCTCCAGCCTTGGAGTCAGGAGGACCTGAGTTCAAATTCAGTCTCAGACACGTAACACTCACTAGCTGTGTGACCCTGAGCAAGTCACTTAACCCCATTGCCTTATTAAAAAAAAGAAAAGAAAGAAAGAAACATTTATTTCTAGAAACGTATTCTTTCGGAACTTCGGCTGGTGTAACGTATTTCTTAATAGTACCTAAATTTTATAAGGGTAGTTAGGTGGCACACTGGATAGAGACTCATCTGTCTTAGTTCAGATCAGGCCTCAGGCACTTACTAGCTCTATGACCCTGGGCAAGTCACTTAACCCCGTCTGCCTCAGTTTCCTCATCTGTAAAATGAGTTAGAGAAGGAAATGACAAACCACTCCAGTATCTTTGCCAAGAAAACCCCAAATGGGATCATAAAGAGTCAGACACGACTGAAATGACTGAACATTCAATCTGATAATCTGAGACAAGGGAAGAAAACTTTTAGGTCAGCAGAATCAACCTAGACTCACTACAAACTTGCTACCACTCCAACATTTTAAAAACTTTTTTTCTGACAACTTGGATGACGCTGGACAAGTAACAATCTTTCCAAGCCTCAGTTTCCTCCTTTGTAAAATAGACTAGAATCAGAGGTAGGGAACCTTGAACTATGTGACCTCTGAGGTCCCTTCCATCTTTGCTTAAAACAATTAAGCAAAACAAAGACAACACAACTGTATCTGATGGTATACGCAGCATTCCGCAACCATAGCTCCCCACCTCCTCCAACTAAAGGAGGGGGTTATATTTCCTCACCTCCTTCTCTAAGGTCAAGGTTGGTCATTTCCAAAGACACCTGAACTGCCAGAAGCCCCAAGCCAACGCCGGTGGTTCCCGGACCGTACACTAGGCCCAAGCAAGTTTCACACCCATACACTGACACACATCTGTCAAGCCCGCCCTGAGTCTTGGCGGGTGAGAACGCAAGCAGCTGCCATGCCCAGTCCTGACCATTACTTAATTCGTAAACCATACCGCCGGGTGTCTGAGACGCAGAGATATCTGTAGGACCTCCCGGGGTGGGAGGGGGAGGGTAGCAAAGAAAAGTAACCAAGAAAGAGGCCCCCAGGGCACCCGCTGTCAAGAGCCTCAACCCCCGGCCAACGCACCCGCGGTCTCTTTGCTTCCAACCTGCTTGGAAAGTTTAGCGCGATGCGCCCATCTCGGGGGCAAAGAAATGGGAAGAGTCTATTGGCAATCGGGCCTAACTCACTGAAATCATCTGGTTACCAGAAAGAAATGAAGCAACAGTTTTCTTCCCCTATCTGCTAGCTGCTCGAGCTTTCGTGTCCGTTAGCCCAGAAAGAAAACTGCAGCCAGAAACTCTCCCAAAGTGCCAAACTTGGTTTCCACTGACCTGGTGCCCCCGGGAAAGTAGTCGCATCATCCTGGCTTGCAAGAAAATCTTTTCCCCCAAGCTTTGCCCTCCTAAGAAACTGCCCGTGACAGGCTGCAGGAGACGGGAGAGCTGTCTCTCCAGCGCAGAGCCCCGGTTCCAGCAGCACTCGGGCCGACTCGGGTCGGGCCCGGGGAGCCACGGTCACGCCCACGGCAGCACTCTCGCCTATCGGAGGCGGCCTTGAACTTGAAACCCCTCCCCCACGCGTGAGGGGGGAGGGGGAGGGGAGGGGAGGGGAGGGGGCAGCGGAGCCGTGGGGGACTTAAAAAGCCCCATGCAGAACGAGCGAGCGCAGGATTCCTGGGGCTTTGTTTTTCTGTGACCCACAGAGCTCTGGCTGGTGCCAGGGAGAAGTTCGAAGCAAACCGTGGAACAAAGGGGGCTCTTGTGGTCCCGGAGCCTGTCCTCCAGCCCTCTATGAGAACCACCAATTCATTTTAACAAGGGCCGCACAGTCTCCCCTCCATTGTTGCCAAGAAATTCCTGAAGTTACAGAAGCCGGGTTCAGGGGCCGGGGAAGATGCCCAATTCTACCCTGATCTAAGGGTTGTCTAGTGAGAGAGGGACGCAAACAAACATTAGAATCGCTGGGAGCTCCCCCTTTTCTGTACATGGACAGGGTCCAAATGCTTCTCTCTAACTTGTAATTTTGCTAATCTCTAAAATGGAGGAGGAAAGCAATCTATTAGCAACGCAGTTGCATGGTACAAGGAGAAAGCCCTGGACTGAACGTGCCTTTGCACCCGGGAACGCCTGTACATGTTTAACCATCGACTGGGATGGAGGATATTTTGCAGGATGCGCTTTTAAATTTAATCTGAACTATTAACATTTTCTTCGTCACTTTGAAGAAAGTCTAGAAATCAACGAAACAAAAAATCAAGCCCTGCTTCGTAGTATTTGCCAGTAAATGCTCACATTGAAAATTTAACAATCAGCTCCCGCAAGCCTGTACTAGCCAGCTCCAGCACACTCCTGCTTTGCATACATTGTTCCCGGCTTCTGGACTGAGTCAGCAGGGTGCTGTAGAAAGGGTACTGGATTTGGAAGAACCCTTGGTTTAAATCCTGGCACTGCCACCTTTTACCTGGGTGACCTTGGGAAGGTCACAAGCTCTCTTCAGAATCTTCCGCTATAAAATGAGGCGTTTGGACTAGGTGACACTTGCTTTCGCTTCCTGCTATAAGTCCCATGATCCTATCTGTCCTTTCACCTCTCTGGCATCGATTCCTCTTTTATAAAATTAGGGAATCGAATTAGACAAAGCTAGGGATGCCTCAGGCTCTAATATCTTATGATTCTAGGAAAAGTCACTTCTTTCTCATCTCTGCTTCCTGGCTTCCTTCAAAGGTGCCACCTGCTACAAGAGCATTTTCTATTATCTGCCCCTCCATCAGTGGTACTTTTACCTCTCAAAATTACTTTGTTTATACTTTGTATTTATTTAATCACTTCCAGGGTGTATCTTCCCGATAGAATGAACACTCCTGGAAGGCAGGGATTGTTTGGGTTTTGTCTTTGTATCTCCAGCAAATTGCTTTCCACTGTGCAATTTAAATTAAATTTGGAGTCAAAGGCCCCAAATTAGACTCTGAGCTCTGGTCCCTCGCATCTGGGCCTCAGTTTCCTCATTTGTAAAATGAAGGGGTTTGACTAGATGGATTCTCAGGTCCCTTCAGTCTGAAATCCTATGAACTCTCCTCAGAACTTGCTAGAGATCAGATCAGCTGTGGAAGATTTCAACAGTCTTTACAGATACCAGTTTCCTCATCTACAAAATGGAACCCCATGGCACAGGTTCCTCTGTCCAAAACACTTAGAAGATAAGATGCTTTTTTAAAATGACAGTTAATTCCATTTTCTCCCAAGGATGAGGTCAGAAGTCAAGGTAATGCCCACCTGGGCTCTTGCAACTTGATTTAAACATCTTCCTTGGCTAAGTGAGTTTGTCAGAACAGAGAATCATAGATTGAGAGATGGAAGGTTACTAAAAGATTACCTAGTCCAATCCCTTTACTTTAGAGATAAGGAAACTGGCCCAGGAAAGAGAATTCATTTACTCCGGGGTCACACAGGTAATAGCAGAGAGATGATTTGAATCCAAGTTCTCTGATTCCAAAGTACAATATTCCTTCTATTGAAGCATTTTGATCAAGACAAGACAAATGATAGGATAAATTGCATTTTTTCTCCCTAAAAGATCCAGGCACAATGGTGAACAAATACCTTCCAGCTCTCTTCCTGAGGGAGGAAAATATTTGCTTTATTTCAATACATCCCCAGTGCCCAGAAAGCACTCCCTTTCTTACATCCTCCTCTTGGTATCCGTAGCTCCCCAAGAGGTTCTGTTCTGGTACCATCTCCTATGTGAGACCCTTCTTGACATCTCTAGTTCATAGTGCTTCCAGTACCACCCCCTCCCACCTGCTCTAAAGACACGCTATAGGCTTTTAACTTAATTACCTAAAAGAGGAAGAACAGTTCAATACAAAACCTCTGCACTTACAGATTTTGGGTTCAAACCCCACCTGTGATATTTAGTCATTTTGGCTTCTCTGGGCCTCAGTTTCCTCATCTGGAAAATGGCAGGGGGGAAGTTGGTCTCTGAGACACCTTCCAGCTCCTGTACTATGAGCTTATAATCTCTATCTTTTTTAAAAAATTATTTTATTTTTAATTTATGGAATAGAACAAGCATTTCCGTAACACAGTATAATTTTAAAAAAAAGATGAAGGGGCAGCTGGGTGTCCTATTGGATAGGCCCTGAAGTCAGGAGGACCTGAATTCAAATCCAGCCTCAGACCAAACACTTGACCACTAGACACTTACTAGCTGTGTGACCCTGGGCGAGTCACTTAACCCCAATTGCCAAAAAAAAGAAGAAAAAAGAAAAAAGAAAAGAAAAGAAAAAAAAGATGATTGCACAAGAAACAGCAAATTTATTATGTACAAAAGATCTCTATCTATCTTTCTCATATTCTACCCTCCCCCCCACCAAGTAGAATGTGAACTTCTTGAGACCAGGGATCATTTTGATATTTGTCTTTCTATTCCCCATGCCAAGAACAATTCCTCCCCCACTGTGTCATAGAAGGTGTGTCATATTTATAATATTATATGCTTATAATAATAGTATTGCATTTATATTGTTTTAAGGTTTGCAAAGCACTTTATCTATGCTATTTCATTTCATCCTCACTACGGCCCTGGGAGGTAGGTGCTATGATTATCCCCATTTTACAGATGAGGAAACTGAGGTAAAGACTTGCCCAAGGTCACATAGCTAGTAAGTGTCTGAGGTAGGAACTTGGGTATTCCTAACTTCAAGTCCTACATTTCAACCCTTGCACTACTTAGCTGCCTCATTGGATTAATAGATCATATTTAAAATATATTTAAAGCTGGAAAGGACCTTAGAGATCATCTAGCACAACCCCTTCATTTTACAGATCAGCCCAGAGTGGTTAAGTGATTTACTCATATCACTCACATTGTGAAGGCTGGATTTGAACCCAAGTCCTTGGACTAAAAATCAAGAGCTCTTTCCACCCTACCAGACTGCTTCTCTAGAATTAAATAGAAATGAAGGTCCCACGGAAGACATGCTTTGTCCTCTGTTCTACACACAGATGGTCTAAGGCAAATGAACTCTATTCATCCACTAGATATTTATTGGGCTCCTCCTCTGTCCAGCTCAGGGTCTCCTGGGCTCTCTTATGGCTCCATTTTATCCCCAATTTAGCTCTCCTTACTAATGTTAATTATCTTGAGATCATTCTCCCCAGGGCCAAAATGTCACAAGGAAAGCTTGAATAAGTTGCTGTCAAGTAGATTTTCTTGTATTTCTTGTCAAATGGAAGTTACGCAAAGCCTTCCTGCCTGTGTCTCATCAGGGTGGAGAGTCTGGGACCAGAACCTGCCTCTACCCGGCCCCAGGAAGCCAAGGTGAAACGGTTATCTCCTTCAAGGAAGGAGGAAACTGTCTTCAAGGAAGGGGGTGAGAAAGAAGCAAGGCTCAGGATTTCAGGCGCTGGCTCGAAAAGGAGCCAGCACCGCCACCTGGTGGTCAAAGCCAGGGAAGGCTGGGACCTTGGCAAGGAAACGTAGGCTCAGATTCAGAGCTGGAAGGCCGTCTAATGCACCCCCTCTTCCCTTTCACAGATGAGGAAACTGAGGCTTGGAAAGCCTAGGGGATACTTGCTCACAGTTATACATGGGATCTGAGATTTAGAGCTGGGAAGCAAATACTTTCTTCCCAAAAAGGCATTTATTTACCATCATTTCTGGATCTTTTAGGGAGAAAAAGCAATATATCTTATCATTTGTCTTAATCAGAAGGGCATAGTAGAAGAAGCCCATGTAATTCAATCCCCTCCCATTTTACAGATGCAAGACCTGAGGTTTAGAAAGATTGAGTGCTGTGTCTAGATAAGGGGAGGGGAAGGAACAGAAGGAAACAGGAAAAAAAGTGTTGATGTTGGGGGGAGGGTAGAGAGCAAGCTGAAAGAGAAGAATTGTGCCTCACTCTGTGTGTGAATTTGGGGCACTTTACAACCCTCTGCCTGAGGGTGGAACATTCCTCTAGGATATGAAAGGGCCTTGGCAAAGAAGTAATTACATCCATAGCTGCCTCTTTCATATACACTCTGAACCGCCTGCTTAGACAAATATGGGGGATTTGCAAACTCAAACTGACCCACCGCCAAATTGTAATGCTTTCTTCTGTTTCTCCAGGAAGCTCCCCAAAAAATTCCTTTAGGGTCAAGGGAGTCCTTGAAATGAAAGAGATGTGAGGTGGTCTGGTCCTGCCCGCTCCAAGTAGGCCTCCTGCCTAAGTCTTCAAAGAGAGATAGCTATCTCAGCTCTCCAGAGAAGCAAATTCCATCTCCTCCCTTCCTTGCTCATGCCAAAACTGTCTGTTGCAGAAGTTTTTAACCCTTTTTGTTTATGGGATTGTAGATATACATCTGGTACCGACTTCAGGGGCCATCTGGGTCACCCCATTTCATTAGACAGATTCAAAACTGAGGCTGAGAGAGGTCATGAGTGACAGGGTCAGGATTTGAAGCTAGGTCCTCTGACTCCAAAT